CTCAGACGCTCTTGTCCAGTCATTGTAAGGATTGTTTGTTGTCAATCTGAACCTGTCTGCATATATTTAAATGTGGAGCAAATGGAACCTTTTCTTAGGTCTCTTGTGCTTCCTGTTCAGTGTTAGGGTTTTCATCAATTGTGGGAGGGGAGGTCCTACAATTAGGGTAGGACATGCTTACCAGTGGTCTCAGACCTGATTCATTGATTAGCCTTCTTACGCCGAGTGGAGATGCACAATGTTTTCACACCAAACAGTTGTTGTCCTCTCAAATCATGGCTGTAATGTTTACAGTTGCATATGGTTTGTATTCTCATTAGTTAAAAGGTGTTTTGTTGTAAACATATTTTATTCATTCAAGAAATGGATTGGGCACAAGTTATCCAACTTAGAAAAGCCCTCTCCGGATAAATTACACAATTCATCTTACAACAAAGTACACAAGTGACAGACATAGGCTAGGATATGTACAACAGATGTTAACTGAGAAAGCGTTTTGTTTGAGAGATATAGATATGTACATATTTGAAAACATTCTGGTTTTCAGTGATTGAGAGACCTGCATTGCCATATAAGATAAGATTAACATCAATCAGTGTTCTATTTTTGACAATATGTTCTAAAGATTTTGACAGTTTATGTCTTTGAATAGTATACAGTGGACATTCAAGGAAGTAATGTAAAACATTCTCACATCTATGGCCACATTGACATGATGCGTCATTTTTTACATTTAATCTATATAAATCATAATTAAGTGTACTCGTGATACATCTTAATCTAGTGTGCATAACACTGGAAAGGTGTGATTATATATATTGCCTATCAACCATCAGTATTTTTCTTCTTTCCTTGAAATTTCATGACAATCTAAAAGTTGACCTTTTCTGGGATGCCAATGGTTGTGCTCGATGCAATGGCTCACCGGCTGAACTTCAGGTATGTCAAGTTGTTAAGATCAAGACACTTTTCTTTGACATCGGTACTTCTGTAATATCAGGCAACTTGAGCTAATCTGGGAGAAGTGATCAAGTTCCACATCCTTGATTTTTCAGGTTATCAGTCCATACGGATATTTAACGTTTGTGATATGAGTGCTTAATTACTTTAAATTACTACACCACAGCATACATTCAGATTTGTTACCATCTTTCTAATGATAAATTCTTTAGTATGACTTCGGTGCAGCAGCAACTAAAGTTATACCCGACAGCTTCTTTGTCTAATGTTTAATCATATACGCATAAAGAGCATATTTTTGACGGGATAATATTTGTATCAATGCATCCATTTCAGCTTCCAGGTCATAGGCCCGATTGATCTGGAATGGGGAACTGAAAAGAATGGTACTTGGAATGGCCTAATAGGACAGTTACAGAAAAGGGTAACCATATCATCTGATCGTGTGGTGTGTACGTGCGTGCTTGCGTGCGTGTGTTTCCATCAATATCATGGCGGGGGACACCAGAAATGTCTTCACACATTGTACCCATACGTGGAATAACACCCGGGTCTTCGACGTGATGAGACAACCACAAGGCTACCCCACCGCCCCTGTGTGTGTATGGGTGTGAAAGAGTGTGTATATGTGTGTGTATGTGTGTGGGGATGTGTCTATGTAGCCTAAAAGTGGAATCATCTTTGACTGCAGCAAAAAGAAAAATAGATTGCATTCGCGAAACTGGTCGATCAACATTACATTTACCATATATATTGTCTTGTCTAAATAATGTTAAGATTCTGAACCACATTTGCTCATTGAGAAAGAATATCTTCATAAACAATCTGGAAAAAGCACAGCAGTTACACTATCAATGTCGTACATTCGCCAGGTCGGGTCATGTATAGAAATGACAACTGCCATTGCATTCTGTTTAAACTGAAGTACAGATACCAAGGCCCAAGACACATTCGAACTTTTTTCTAAGATTTTAATATCACACAGTATCTTGGTATTCACTGTTGCCGGGTTCATGTAATGGCGAACTCAAAATGTTTACTGGCTCCTAATAGCATAACATTTTGCTACATCGTTACTAGTTTAGAAAGAAAGTTAAAAACTATTATACCTTAACTTGGGTATAAAGATCAGAGAAATACTCCGATGTCTACGGTAATATTTGTCCATAAAAAATCTAGGATTGGTCAAACCTTTGGAAGAAATGTACATTTATCATTTCCTTGGCGTAAGACTGTACTAAGTTAGAACTTCTGTTTCAGGAGGTGGATATGGTTGCAGCACCTTTATCAATGACTGATGACAGACATGCAGTGATGGATTATCTCCTTCCACCATTTGCCAATACATATTATCGTGTTATGTACAGAGAACGAGACGTCGACCAGTATAGATGGCTCTTGCTGTTGAAACCTTTCCAACAAATGGTGTTCCTTGTCTTGGGGTTATGCGTGGCATGTGTTCTTCTAATTTATGGAGTGACAGAATTACTCCAAAGACATGGAACTGTACATAGGAAAACAGAAGTCATGTCAAGCATATTATGGTTTATTCTTGGAACAATGCTAAAACAAGGTATTGTCTTCCTACTGTCATGATCAGCCTTTGGTCGACTCTGTTGTTTTAGTTCAATTTTATGGCTTTTATGACATAGAGTGATGTAACTGATCTTGATAAATAGGTGTATATTTGTCTGATTCTTTTCAGGTAGTACCAAGACATTCACCAGTGTGTCTGGTAAAGTTCTCACATTTTTCTGGTGGATCTTTCTCCTTGTTCTCACTTCTGTCTACACTGCAAAGCTCATTGCCTTCCTGTCTGTGAAGAAGTCTGAACCTCCACAATTCACCAATCTCCAGGAACTCTCTGAACGACTTGACTACACTATAGGGTGCCCAGTTAAAGGTTATGTAAGAACATATTTCCAGGTATGCGCATGTCATGTTCCCATAATTGAGGTTATACTTTTCATGTTTATCATTTTTCATACCTGATAACTTGGTCACAAACAGTGTAAGGGAGTTTGTTTGTTTGTCGTTTTTCTTCTTTTTTGTGTGTGTGTATGTTTACTGTTTGTTCAAATGCAGTTTTAGATTCCGTATGATCGTTACTGTTGCCTTTTATGTGTTTGTTTGTAAGTGCAGATCTATTATCTGAGCCAGAAAGTAGGAAAACAAGTTGTCTGTTTTTTAGAATACTATACGAACAACACCTATCAAACTTGCCCATGCTTCTGAAAGGAAAATAAAAAATTCATCTAAGTTTTAAATCTGGTTTAAGAAAGATTCGAATTCTGATTAGCGATATATTGTAGAGTAAACTTTACCCTTCTTAACTTGAAACTGGTTTCTTTAGCCTCGGCATATAAACGAAGGTTGATGTTCCCTCAGACCCTGGTGGTGACTGACTGACTGAGTTTTGGTTTTACGCCGATTTAAGCAATATTCCAGCAACATCACGGCGGAGGACACCAGAAATGGGCTTCACACATTGTACCCATGTGAGGATTCGAACCCGGGTCTTCGGCGTGACGAGCCAACGCTTTAACCACTAGGCTACCCCACCGCCCCCCCTGGTGGTGAATACACCTGAGCCAGTGTAAGTAAGATTTACGAACTGAACTATATATAAAACGTACAGAGCCGGTAGGATGTGGCATATGCCCTCCATGCATGTCTTTATCCCTGCAGCAATGAGAATTTGACACAACTTAAAAATACCAAATGCTCGTAAACATTTCGTTTTAAAATTTGTAATATAGGACATAAAGTACAGTTTGCTGTCAAATGTAATACACGAACCTGTATTTCCTTATTTACTTTGATGCGTGTAACATGAAAGAACAATTATTCAATTTACAAATGTGAAGAAAACCTGATTTGGTCAGTGAAAATTTGAAACCGTTTTTCTGAGACTACTTATACTGACATATCTGTAGCTGTCTCTCAATACTACACATGTTAGTTTCGCAACATGGAACATTAATATCATCAAGAAGAAGCCATTAGCGTTAGCATTCAGTACTAGAGCTTGACTGTTGATCGTAAAGCTTAAGAAGGTAGCTGACAGAAAACGTTCCTGAGATCCAACTTTATGATCCAATGAACTTGGAACCGATTATTTGTCGAGAAGTACAGAAATATATTCAGGCATGTATCCCCTATGCTTGACAATACTTTTATTTGAATTGAGGGACGTATGAGCATGTGGTGAAATGTATCAGTTCGATAGCAGGTTAGTTGCTTGTTATTTTATACATAATCCATGTCACTGATATTTGGATCCAAATTCAACATGACCCGCTTACCATTCACACTTTTTGGATTACCAAACGGATGAAGACTAACAGACTGCTTGTCTGGATATTCTATGACCCACCTGCAGCTCAAAGGAACCTGGGAGAATATACACAGAAGGATTAAACAAATTACCAAACAAGATTGGCCCATGAGTATCCGTCTTCTGGAGATTAAGACCCCCTAGGCAAATTAAATACTACAGACTTAAAAAATCACCTAGGGTATTATAACCAGACAGCCGATTTCAAAAGATAAGTCGTGCAAATATCATCAATGCTCAGGATTCCGACTGATAGAACTGGGATCGTTCTTGGTCAAGTTAGGGTTAAAGTAGTGTGTTGGGCAAAAGAGCTTTGTCCTGACTCAGTGCCCTAAACTACCATAGGTCAGGCTTGGGCGAAAAGACCTACTTGACACTTAAAGACGTAGATGTACATGTGTTCTCCATTATCAACCGACTGTAAGAATATACCAAAATAAGGTTATATATACAGAAGACGTTGCTGCCATAGAAGATGCTACGTCATATTTGCTTTCATGTTTAATAATCGTCTGTCTTGAAAGGCATATGAAAATATTCCATTTCAGAATTCCACAAGAGATGACATGAAACGTATTTGGAAAAGAGTTCAAAAACAAAATCTGACTGATCCACAAGTCCTGTCGACAAACAACAGCTACCACGTCAGTGAAATGCAGAAAGGAAAGCATGCCGCAATCGTATTTGACATTGCCACAGAAGCGTACATGGCCAAGGATTGCAAACTGGCATATCTCCGGGACTGGCTACTTAATGATCAGATAGCTTTTGGTCTCCCAGCAAACTCACCACTGAAGTCAGAGTTGGAACGAGGGTATGTGTCCATAAAACACATTTTTGTCTGCAGGTATTCCAGGTCAGAGTGGTACCTGAGTAAATCAGTTTTGTCATGAAATTATACTAAAAAGTGGAGTTTTGAGATCGTTATGTGCGACTTTGATAATTATGTTTATTTATAATCTAACGGTGCCAGATTGCTTATCACCTGTCCCAGATTCGTGTATTATAGGCCAAAACTGTATTTAATAACATATGGTAAATTTGGGATCACATTTGTCAGTAAAGTACAGATTGTAGTACTTTTGTGGGTTTAGACCCATCCGGGATTTGAAACAACACTCTAAGAGTTAGGCACAAAGTCAGCCATCCTACTCACTCAACCACCGCGGTTTCCACTTTCGAAAAGGCCTTGTGTATTCACAATTATATGGTCCGTTGTCGGTGAGACGTCTGTGGTTACTCAAAAACGTTCTGACCAAGTAAGCTGAAAATTGCCTCAACTACATTCAAGAAGTGAATCCAAACTTCTATATGAATACCATATTGGAAAAAACTTATTTATAGAAATAATATGTGAGTGTAATCAACACGAATTGATTTTTGGTGCATGAGAAGTTAGTACTTGGGCTCAACATATATGCTCTAAAACATATATATATTGAGCAAATGTAAATATTCTCGCCCATGGGCCAAACTTTTTCTCCTGTAGGCGAGATATTTTTGTAACGCTCTAAATTATCAGAATTAAGTTAAGATTAGTTAAATTTTGGGTGATGATACTTATAAACATACTTTCATTCAAATACAACCACCAAAACATGAGTTTTGAGCAAACGTAAATATTCCAACTCATGGGAATTCCTATTGGCCCGAAATGGGGTAGTTTCGAAAAAAACCTCATTTTTCCTAGTTTCCATCCTTAGCATAATAAATACAGGTTGAATGTTGTCAAATCCTTTGTCAGACACTGTCTGGGGTTTCCAGAATTAGATAGTGACGTGTTCATTGCATTTATCGGTAAACAGTTTTAGGCCGCACTCAGCAATATTCCAGCTATATGGCGACGGTCTGTAAATAATCGAGTCTGGACCAGACAACCCAGTGATCAACAGCATGAGCATCGATCTGCGCAATTGGGAATCGATGACATGTGTCAACCAAGTCAGCGAGCCTGACCACCCGATCCCGTTAGTCGCCTCTTACGACAAGCATAGTCGCCTTTTGTAGCTAGCATGGGTTGCTCTGTCTGTGTGTGTGTTGTTGTTTTTGTTGTTGTTGTGTGTGTGTGTGTGTGTGTGTGTGTGTGTGTGTTGTGTGTGTGTGTGTGTGTGTGTGTGTGTGTGTGTGTGTGTGTGTGTGTGTGTGTGTGTGTGTGTGGTTACATCGAAGATTGATTTCTCCACTAACTTGGGGGATACCAAATGCAAACATTATGCAGATGAATTGCACGAGGTTTATACATCAAATTGCTGAAAAGCATATGCAAATATCATGCATGCTTTTTGGTGTAAGGTTTTGTTAAGAATTCGCCAAGTTTCGCTGAGTTTTGTCATTGTTTTAACTCAGGACAATAATCATTTCAACGTTACGAAATTGTTTTACAATACATCAGTATACAGTAACTTCAAACAGTATGGAATATTTTGCAAAATTGAATTTAGAACAGTTGCCTGAAGTAAGTGGCTCTATATACACCAGTGAATCTAAACTTTTGATGGGAAGTATATATTATTGAATGTGTGGACTGCCATTTTAAGTTTTTGACTTTTGACATTTTGTCTTTTGTCTGATATAATGTAATATACTCATGCCAATAATGGTTGTCACCCCCCCCCCATCACAACCCCATATAAAAAATTGAAGGGGTGACAACCATTATTGGCATGAGTATATTTTACATCGTAGCTGAGCAAATAAATTATTAATAATGGGTAATAAAATGTGGGTTTTTTTTCACAATGCGTTATATCATTCACCATTTGTTGGCTTGTAATCCTATCATATCCTTTTGTATCATAAAATGTTTAGTTGATATTATGATGATAGGGAATGATAATATTCATTTACCACAAAATCGTTTCCACAGTCATAAGCTGTCTTTAGGAAAGGACATGAAAACATAGTTAAGACCTGAAATAGTTTTGTTTGAAAACACCAAAAAGATTAATTCAGATTTTGCATGCTTGCTTACGTAAAACAACATTCACACACTCAATGATTTGCGATTTTAATTTCTAATTTACTTTTCTTTCAGGATGCAAATGCTGATAGATAGTGGGTTGATACAGAAATGGATGCAAGAACACGGGTTAGTATCTAAGAAAGGTGGATGTCGCTCTGACAAGCTGGTAAAGCCAGCGACACTTGAATACTTTGAAGGGAGCGTGGCAGCAGCAGCAGCGGGTGCGGGTCTGGCACTACTAACCCTGGCTGGAGAATGTCTCTATCATCATCACATCAGGTCACGGAATGGAAAGGATACTTAGGAAGTGGTGCCGAGTATGCTGACCAAAGTACAGGAAAACATAACATTTGAGAATGTATACTACCCATCAAAAGTTTAGACTCACTTAAAGCACTCACTATATGTTATGTATATATATGTGGTTACATCGAAGAAGAATTTCTCCACTAACTTGGGGGAACCAACTGTAAACCTTATGTAGATGAATTGCATGAGGATCATGCATCAAATTGCTGAAAAGCTTGTGCAAATATCGTACATGTGAACAGCTGCGTTTTGGTGTAAAGTTTTGTTAAGAATTTGCCAATTTTCACTGAGTTTCATCATTTACTGAACTCATGACAATAATCTTTTCAACGTTACGAATTTGTTTTACAATACATCCCGTCATGTGTAAACAGTACCTTTAAACAGTATTGAATATTTGCAAAATCTAGTTCAGAACAGTTGCCTGAAGTAAGTGGCTACATAGTAGTAATTGTAGAATGTGTTGAGAGAAGTTTCGATAAGAAACTTAGGACACGACATTTTTGTCATCAACGTATATCTGCACTGACACCTTACGTCAATAAAGAATTTTGCATAAATGTACTATCGTAGGTGATATTTACAACTCAGTTACAAATGTCTTTGAATTATTTTACTTGTTTTGAAGATTGATATAACTTTGTCTTGCTATCACTGAATATCTCGGGTGATATTTACAACTAAGTTAAAACTTGCCTACATGTTTAAGTAGGTTACACTACTACTGAAAGGCTTTTAATCCAGCCGGCTTCCATTTATCAAATCGGGCGGTGGGGTAGCCTAGTGGTTAAACCGTCGAAGACCCGGGTTCGATTCCCCACATCGGTACATTGTGTGAAGACCATTGCTGGTGCCCCCCGCCGTGATATTGCTTGAATAGTGCCAAAAAGTGGAGTAAAACTAAACTCACTCACTCACTCACTCACTCCATTTGTCAAATTGCAACTGCTGATGCAGAAATATGTTATTTTTTGTCAAAAGGTTATAATTGTATGTTGCAAAGTACAAAATTATTACAATAATGTGTTAATTTTTCACGTTAAAATTTAGTTCATAAGTTCAGAAAAGTCTAGCTAGGCTATAACTGTTATTAGGTTTCCATAAGGTATTATCATGATTGTCAGGTCTAGATTACTTCCGCTTACTGTTAGTGATGTTCGTCAGACCACATGGCTTTTCACTGCCTCCATGCTGAAGATATCAGCTGTTTGTTAGGCAAGAACACAAATGTAAGTAGCATTGTGTGCTAGCTGTTATAATATATTTTAAATGCATAATATAGTAATATTATTTGAAGGTTTTGTTAATTGTACATTTTATTCATTTAATTTGTAATTGTTAATTTTGAAGTAATATACTTAGAATTTTCATGTTGTTTTGCTGTTAAGAATAATTTACTTAGCAAGTCTTTATTTCTGCTTTGTGGTATTTTTAAAGTTAAAGAAAAGAAGTATAAATGTGAATATGCATGAACGCCTAAGGGAATAAACTTTGGTGCGAGTTAAAGAATGTTTGTGTCTTGTATCCACAGAAACGTCAAAACCCTTTCCACACCCGTAAGAAATATTGTACACTTCTGACTGACTGACTGACTGAATTTGTATTTACGCCGCTTTTAGCAATATTTCAGCAATATCACGGCGGGGACACCAGAAATGGGCTTCACACATTGTACCTATGTGGGAAATCGAACCCGGACCTTCGGCGTGACGAGCGAACGCTTTAACCACTAGGCTACCCCACCGCCCCTGTACACTTCTGACTACGTCATGACTATGTGTTTGTATGACGCCGCACTACAGCTGCATGACGCGGTTATCGAGTCTGGACCAGACAATCCAGTGATTGACACCCTAAGATACGATAACTGATCATGTGATTACACAATGCCATTTTGAAAGTGCTCAAATGTAACATATGTTATATTTGGGATTTCACTTTCTTAGTAAAGCACCAAATTCTAGTACTTTTTGGGTTGAGTCCCATCCGGCATTCGAACCCACACCCTCAGAGTCACGTACCTATTCGCCAACACGCAAAGTCAGCCGCCTAACCCGCTCAGCCACCGCGACTTCCACAAAAATGGAAGTCGGATAACTGGTAGTCTAGACTGCAGACTTTCTGTACCCCTCTGATAAGTGTTAATTGGCACGGCTCCCACGGCCGAAAGCTATGATTACACAATGCCATTTAGAAAGTGGTCGAATGTAACATATGTTATATTTGGGATTTCACTTTCTTACTAAAGTACAAATTCTAGTACTTTTTGGCTTGAGTCCATTCCGGGATTCGAACCCACACCCTCAGAGTCAGGCACCAGTATTGTGTGAAATGGTATGCTACTTCTCATAAAAAAACTCACTCGAGGTGCGAGAATTATTCGGTTTCTCAACTGTTCCACACACAAAATGACACAGTATCTGAAATAACTCTGTGTGTTCTGTTTGTCATTCACGTCACTGAGATATAATGAAAATATACTTGTTTGAAGTAGTATATATATGCATTCTAGGCAGCAGTTGGAAACTGAATCGTAACAAGAAATTAAGAACATCCTCCGAAACATTGAGATTGGTAGAATCTCTCCTTTATGTATACTGAATTCCAAAAGAAACGAATATTACAAATGTTCGAAATAAAATGAAGTACGACACTAATCAAGGCAAATTGGTGTGTGTTCGATGCTCAGACAGTCATTTTCGTCATTTGTGTGTTTTGATTATATCGAAGCGATTGCTAAAGGAGGTCATACTCGATACAGAAAAGACATTTCCCATGACCCGTAAGTGACGTTACCAATTGTCTTATTGACATTATCACAAACCCGTCTGGTTATGAACAAAGACCATTTGTGTGTTCACTGTAAAGACTCATGTTTACTTGCATGATAAGCAAACATTAATCAAGCAACACGCACGTATGATAATCATATGATAATTACGAAAACAATATATCCTGTATGTGCTTTGACAACCTAATTCCACTTTTCAAGATGGCAACTTTCACATATACACATGGAAATAAGTATCGCAACACCTCATATTTTTCATGCATCAATAGGTTATCATTAACCGCAGCAAAGGAACTTTTCCAAGCCTGAATTTAACTGGATAAATTTGCCCTCAAGGAATAATTACATGTCAAATCTAAACGCAGAAAAGACTCATTTAGTGGTGCTGAAAAACTATGGTAGTATAAGTTAAATAGTGCTACATTTTCCAGATTCTGGCAAACTATCCTTAAGAATCAACTCAATATGAACAACCAAGCACTTGGTCAATATCTGGTGTTACGTCCGCCAGCTACAATAACATTCCTGACCCTTCTCCTCATTGACTGTCAGACGTTGAATTTGACGTTGGGGTATTGCGTTCCTATCCTTGATGGCGGGCTTGTTGCAAGACATCATAATTTTGTGGCGGAGGATCTCTTGTTGTTGTTTTTTATACACTTTTTATTTCAGTACACCAGGGTTTGTACAGAAATATATAAAACACTATGTTGTATATAATTACGTGTTCGTACAGTAGCTGACAAATTCATACATTTCCTAAAAGGTAATTATAGTGATGGACAGGTGTAGTGTTTATTTTAATAAAGAACATGCTCATACAGTAGTATATAAAGCAAACACTGTATATAGTTACCTGTTTGCACAGTAGCATACAAGTTGATACGGTTCATACCGGCTAGTTATACTAATAGGCAGAGTGTAATGTTTGCTTTAATAAAGAACGTGTTCATACAATGGCATATAAGTTCATACAATTCATACAAGGCAGCTATGCATTTCATACAAGGTAGCTGTACTGATGGACAGGGTGTAATGTTTGCTTTAACAAAAAGCAAACTGACATAGGTTGATAGCAAGTTATAGTTCCAGTATTATTACAATTGTGCATATAGGTATTCCTGTTAAAATGCTTTTCCAGTACAGAGGAGAAAGCATTAACGAGCAATACAAATTCAGGTGTCAGGTAGTGATATATCAATTTCTAGGAGAATTGAAACCGTTGTGCCATTACGAGGTACATTCATGTTACTGTATAGATACAAAGAGAAGAGTTTGTCACATTGCCAAAATATCACACATGACAAGAAATGGTAATAAATAATCAGTAGTTTCAAAGGTTAATTATTAATGGTTAAACTGATGAATTTATAGTATTTTTCAAATGCAAGAGAAAAAGGTCAAAAGACAATCAGCGGCAGTTGGTGTACCAGTGTTTATCAAAAGATCATGCAATAATACTATTACCCAGTACATGGTACAGAAATCACGTTCTGGTAAATATCACATAGTATTACTAATAATAATGATATTAGTGAAGAGAGTAATTTGAGTGTGTATCATTAGTTCAGTTAATGGAAGATGGTACATCCATACTTATCAAAGGTTGCCATTTCTTACTGAAAGTGTTGGCTTTCAGATTCATATTTGCAATGTATTTTTCAATTTTCATTATGTCCTTAACTATATTTACAAACGAGTCAAAGCAAAGCTTTTTTTTAGTTAATACTGTTATTGTGAATGAATTTTTTCGCAATCAGAATCAAGTGATTTTGTAATGCAAAACATCTAGGTAGACCAAAAAAGACAACTTCTTTTGGTAGTTCACATCTGCTAGTGCATCTTCTGTTCATAAATTCGGCTACCTGCTTCCAGAAACTATTAACGTGTGTACATTCATAATAAACATGATGAATATCTTCATTTGCTACTTCACGAAAACAGCATATATTTTTGTCTATTAATTTCATCTTTAGTAGTTCTTTTCTTGTGTATATTGCTCTTTGTAAAAAATTATATTGAAAGTCACACAATTTACTGTCCTTGGTGCAGGTTCGTGTTTGCGTATATAAAAGTTTCCAATTCATAGCAGTATAAAACTCATGGTACCATTTTAGTCAAGAATGAGGTGGATCAACGTTTTTGTGAAGGTTGTCGTAGTACATTCTGCATCCTTCAGATTCAGAGAGCAAGTCCATTAAAGGATTAGATAAGCTTAGGTTATAGATTCGTATATTGTTATTTTTTATTTTCACTCTCCATTCTGCAGGAATATTATTGATTAAACTTTCAAAGTCAAGGAACGTGCCTTTAATGTTGTAGGTCTTTTTAATTA